AAACCAAAAGTAGAATAGATAACTCAGAAAATTAAGTTAATAGCACAGACAGCAAGACAAGGGAAAGAATTTTCAAAATGAAGTTTAAAAGTAAAAGTGACACGACTTGAACAAAGTTGTTAGATAAAATCAAGGATGATAGATCTGGAAGATAAACAACTGAGATCTAATGTAAATTACAATCCTGAACAGAGAAAGACAGACATGTGGAATAGGCAAAATATTTTAAAATACAACACTGAATATTAAAAGAGCTCATTGTATTCCAGGAAAAATAGAGAGTGATCTAGGACTCCAATATTTTATGGAATGTTGCTGAATCTTCAGGAAAAAAAAAAAGAGAATGCTCTCAGCATTTGGGCAGAAGAAACAAGACCATGTACAAATTACATCATTTATGCTGGCCCCAGACATCTCCTCAGCAACATTAGGTACTAAAAGTTAGGGCTGAGGGTATAGTTCAGTGGGACAGCCCTTGTCTAACATGTGTGAGGTCCTGGATTCCATCTTCAGCATTACAAAAAAAAAGTGAGTACTTTATGTAATGCTAAGGGAAAAAAAATATGACATGGAATTTTCTAGTCAGCTGGAATGTAATTTTAGTGGACTGTCTAACTTATTTAACTAGTTTTTAGTTGATTGATAGATTATTTTTGCAGTATTATTTCAAACCATAATACAGTGAAAAAACTTGCATATTTATTATTTAAAATACATAAAGACTGTATCAGTTACATAAGTTCCTTGAAGTATAAAGGTTGAGTTAAAGGATGCAGCTTTTTAAAAATGTTTTAATTTTGCTATGTTGTCCTCCATAGCATCTGTACCAACTACTACCACTTTTACAACTGCATGTGCTCATTTTGTGCCTAGGTCACGTCTTGGTAATTCTTATAATATTTCAAACTTTTTCAACAGTATATCTGTGATCAGTCATCTTTGTTGTCACCACTGTAATTATTTGGGGGCACCACGAAACATATCCATATAACACAGCCAGCCTAAGTGATAAATGATGCCTGTGTTCTGATTGCCCCACCAACCAGCCATTCCTCACCTTACCTTCTCTTCTTGGGCCTTCCTATTCTCTGAAACACAACAATATTGAAATTAAGCCAATTAAGACCATGCAATGGCCCCTAAGTATTCAAGTGAAAGAAAGAGTCACAGGTCTCTCATTTTAAGGCAAATACTAGAAATTATTAAGAAGGCAGAAGGCAGGTTGAAAGTCAGTCAAGCTGAAGGGTAGGCCTCCTGAGCAAAAAGACTAATAGTTGACCAGAAGGAAAAGTTCGTGAAAGAATTTAAAAATGTTATTCCAGTGAACACATGATAAGAAAGCGAAATAGCTTTACTGCTGACATGGAGAAAATTTTAGTGGTTTGAAGAGGTCAAAACAGCCACAGTACTCCCTTAGCCAAAGCTTAAACCAGAGAAAGGCCCTCTCTTCAGTCTATGAAGGCAGAGAAGGGTGAGGAAGCTGCAGAAGAAATGTCTGAAGCTGGCAGAGATTGCTTTATGAGGTTTAAGGAAAGAAGTCACTTCCATTTCCATAGCAAAATGTATAAGGTGAGGCAGCAAGTGCTGATGTAGAAGGTGCAGCCAGTTACCTAGAAGACCAAAGACAACTGATGAGGTTTTCAATGAGAAAAAGCAGCCCTCTACTGGAATGAGATGCCAGCTAGGACTATCACAGCTAGAGAGGAGTAATTAATGCCTGGCTTTAAAGCTTCAAAGGACAGGCTGACTTTCTTGTTTGGGACAAGCTCATGACTTTTCCACTCCCAAATCCCCATTTACCACTAAAAAAATCCTAGGCCCTTAGGAATTACACTGGATGGCAGCACATCTGTTTATAACATGTTTACTAAATACTTTAAGCCCACTATTGATACTTACTGCACAGAAAAGAAATATGCCTTTCAAAATATTACTGTTAAGCTAAGTATAGTGGTGCACACTTATAGAACCCCTACTTGGGAGACTGAAGCAAGAGGATCACTTAAAGAGATGAGCATGATGGTGCACATCTCTAATCCCAGCACCGGTAAGGCTGAGGCAGAAAGATTGCCCTGAGTTCAAGGCCAGCCTGGGCTACAGAGCAAGTTCAAGGGCAGCATGGAATATAGATATCAGGACCTGTCTCAAAAACCAAAAAAAAAAAAAAAAAAGAAAAGAAAAAATTATTTGAATCCAGGTCTCCATCTCAAAATATGTACTACTGCACACTGGCAATACACTTAGTCACCCAAGAACTCTGATGGAGGTATATGAGATTAATGTGACATAATTGCTAGAATGTCATGATAAAACTTTAGTGCATGATGAGGAGTTGCTTCTGCATTAGGAAGATAGAGTGAAGTGGAGCTGTTTCTGGGTGAACAAAGTGGTTTCTGAGATGGAATCTACTCCTGATGAAGATGCTGTGAACACTGTTGGAGTGACATCAAAAAGATTTAGAATATTACATAAACTTAGTTGATAAAGCAGCAGCAAGGTTTGAGAGGACTGACTCCAATTTTGAAAAAGTGCCATGTGAGCAAAATGCTACCAAACAGTATTGCATCTTACAGGAAAATCTTTCCTGAAAGGAAGAGTCCAGGAGAGGGGGCAAACTTCACTGACGTCTTATTTTAAGAAACTGCTACAGCCACCCCAGGCTTCAGCAACCACCATCTGATCGGTCAGCAGCCATCCACATCAAGGCAGCACCCTCCACAGTAAAAGTCTACAACTTGCTGAAAGCTCAGGTGATTGTTAGCATTTTTTTAAACATTAAGGTATTTTTAAATTAAAGTCTGTGTAATTTTTAGATACATTATTGCACACTTAATAGATCCCAGTATACTATAAACATAACTTTGATATGCACTGGGAAACCAAAAGTACTGTGTGACTCGCTTTACTGAAGAGTCCAGGAACTGGATCTGCAGCCTCTGCAAAGTATGTCTATCCAAAATTGGATTTGAGTCATCCCCAGACAATCCCCAAACACTATAATTCAGAATGTTGAAATCCTCAAAGATCAAAACCCTTGGAGTCTAAAATCCCTGAAAAATAAAATGCCCAAAATATAATTCTGGAAAAAGTAATTGTAAAACATTCTTTTGGTTGGGAATGCAGTTCAATAGTAGAGGGTTTGCCTCGAATGCATCAGGCCCTGGGTTTGGTCTCCAGGACAGGAAAGGAGAAGCCAGGTGTGGTGGCACATGCTTGTGATCCCAGCACTCAGGAGACTGAGGCAGGAGGATTGCTGCCTGGGCTACCTAGTGAGTTCAAGGCCAGCCTGAACTACACAGCAAGTCCCTATCTTTAAAAAAAAAAAAAAAAAAAAAAGGGCTGGAGATTTAGCTCAGTGGTGCAGCACCTGCCTGGCAAGTGTGAGGTCCTGAGTTTGATTCTTGATATCAAAATAAATAAGATAAAATTAAATTAAATTTTTAAAAAAGAGGAAGTGGAGGAGGAGGGGGTAGGGTTAGAGGAGGAGGGAAGGAAGAGAAAGAAGAGGAGGAGGGAGGAGAAGGAAGAAGAAAAAAGAAATATATGACAAAGTACTAACAGTTGTTAATGCTGGCTATTGTAAATATACCAACATCTTAGCCCTTTTTAACTATGTTACATAGATTAACAAAAAACAATTGAAAAACTAGTGTTATATGCAAATGAGTCAACAATGGAAAAATTAACAAAAAATGATTTAAAAACTAATATTATATGCAATGAGTCAACAATGGCCAAAAAAAGAAAGTCACTAAGCTTTCAATGGTGAATACTGGATCTAAGCAGAAGTCTGAAAAGTACTACTTAAAAGGAAGGCAAAACTTAAGGCATGAAAAAAAACAGAATAGGGCTGAGAATATAGCTCAGCAATACAGTGCCTGCCTGGCAGGCACAAGGTCCTAAGTTTGATTCCTGACACCAAAAACAACCACAAAAAACAGACAAAATGAAAAAAGAGAAGATATTAAATAACAAAGGTACTAAAAAAGTACAAAAGCAAAGAAAAATTTACATTGTAGGATGTAGCACACTATAAAACCAGAAACTTTGTCAGTATAGAACAAAATAGGATATTATCTTTTATTCTGGTATGTGGTTTTACTTCAGGTATTGGTATCAATTTTGTCTACTGCTTATGATAAACATTTAATATAAAAATATAGTTTACTATTTTTTCCACCAGTCTCATGTTGCAGTTTTTGCCTTCTGGATAGGATGATTTCTGAGCACCCTTCTAACTTTAAAATTATAACACTTTGCCTAACAATTATAATTACTAGTAATTAGAACAGTGCCTTGAACATGTTTCCACTGCGATACATACAGTACATTTTGCACTATTAAATAGGTACAGAATTAAAAATACTGGGTATGTTAGGCATGGATAACAAATATAAAACAAATTTAAAATTCTGTCATAAAAATATATACACGCCATTAGAAGAGGTTTATTTGGACAATAAATGTATAATTAACTCCTATTAAAATGGAGGCACCTGTGGCTATCCCATGTGAAGAGGATTAAAGTAAAACCGTCTCTCAGCGCGTTGCCTGAGTCTGAATCAAATACTGTAACTCCAAACATACTTAAAAAAAAAAAAAAAAAAAAACAAAAAAACAGGGCAACGTTATCTTCCCAGCAAGCTATTTTTTTATAACAGCTTTTATGTTCTGTGCATCAAAATCATCTACTAGATGACATATGATCCCACCCCCTCTACCGGCAAACCCATGGCATGGCGGATGAGGTACCAGGCTGGGCTTTCCTCTTCCCTTCTCCATCCTTCCCCGGACTCGGGCGTCTGACCGCTGACAGCACCGGCCGGGCGAGGACCGGAAGACCCGCACTTGCAGAAGCCGGAGCCTGGCGCCCTACACCAGCCGGCGCATTCCGCGGCGCGCCCGGCCGGCACATCTGCTCATGTTTTCTTTACCAATGGATGGCCAGTGTCTAAGGACGACGTCCCCATGATAAAAAACGAAACAAAAGTAAGCCCAACCTGCAGGTAGGGCCAGGAGTCCAGTACCTGAAGGCCGTCAGCACCTGCCCTCTGAGAAGAGCTCTCCTCCCGGGAAGAAAGCACCTAAGCGGCCCCGGCCGCGGCGCTGGCTCCCGGTCGGCGTGGGCAGGAGCGCCGCCTGGTCCGCGCGCTCCGCGGGACCCCAGAAGCCAAGGAGGCCGGCGAGGCCCGCGCCTCAGCGGCGCCCGCTCCCGGCGTCGCCAAGTGAACCTAGGGCTTTAACTCCGGCCGCACCGCCGCCCGGGAAGGAGGCCCGGACGCTCTCCGCGGCGCAGCACAACGCGACGCTCCTCCGCCGCCTCGGGCGGCGCTCGGCCCCTCTCGGCTCCCGTCCCGTTGCGGTTCCCGTCCCGTCTCGACTGCTGTCCGGTCTCGGCTGCCGTCCCGCCGCCGCCCGCGCGCCCTTGTCCTCTTCCCCGAGCCCTCGGGGTTGTCACCGCAGCGGGGCGGGATGTTCAAATCCTGGCTCCACCCAGTATCTCGGTTCGCTTGGGAACGAAGGCCGGCGCCCTCGCTGTGCCTTCCTTCCCTAGGTCCTTTTTACGAAACGGGGAGCACCGAACGAGACAGAACGTTGGTCTGAGGACTGGCGGGGCAAGTGGAAAGCCCCCCCGCGCCTCCACCTTCCTCCCTGCGCCCGCCCGGCCTCGCGCAACCGCGGGCTCCGAGCGCAGGAGCCGGATCTCCATAGCTCTTGGCCTTCTCAGCCCCAGGTTGGCCCCCGGGAAGGGCTAACGCCCTTTTCTTTATTTCAAATGTTTAAAGAGAACTAAGTTAACTATTAACAACTTACCTTAAATGCACATATATAGCCATAATTTTGTGTGATGAAGGAGTCTTCAAGAACAAGAGAGTAAATTCTGAACCTAAAAACTTTAGGAAAAATGTAAACAGCTAGAACTAATACTATGTACTGGTGGAAGATAGTTTATCAACGCTGAATGCTTTCTTTTTGAAAGTGGCTCCAACATTTTTAACGACTTTCCTAACACTGCAAAATACAAATTCATTACAACTGTGCTTGTCTATCAAGGAAAAACGCTTACACCTGAGGCAATAACTAAAGTTCTCTAACATGAAAGACAAAGTTGGGGTCAGAGTCTAGAACATTAGTACTACAAATTATCGTACAAAATAGAAACACAGTAGTTTTAGGATGGGGAAATGTGAGCTATTTATACTAAATGGTTAATTTAGACCGACAATATTAAGATGAATTTAGGTTCTTGTACTACAACATTTTTTTTTGTTGTTTGGTCTTTTTGAGACAGGGTCTCGCTATGCAGTTCAAGGTGCCCTTGAGCTCACTTTGTAGCCCAGGCTGGCCTGGAACTCGCAACAATTCTCCTGCCTCAGCCTCCCGAGTGCTAGGATTACAGGCGTGCGCCACCACGCCTGGCCCTTGTACTACAACATTTAGACTTCAAGGAATGCGTGATTTTTTTTTTTTTAAAGAGTCCACAGCTCTGCTCTTACTCTTATAATTTGCTTCACAAGGTAAGACCTTAGCGTAAGAACTTGCAGTGGACAAACATGGATGGTTACTAAAGTTCTTCATATTAAGTTTGACGTCCCTCCTAAGGGGCACATCACACTGCTCAGTCAATACCTGTACTATATCTGCCCTCCTTTCCCATTAGATGCTGAGCTGCTGGAAAGCTGCTCCAAATTTACACATTTTTACAGCTTTTCCAAATCCTGAATGTTTATTCCATCAATGAATGAACTGAAACAAAGATGGCTAACTGACAACTGAAGGACTGGGTATAAAATATCTACAAAGAACTGACGGTCTTTCTCTCCAAGGACTAAAGGAGTCTAATGTAGTAAGCAAAATAGCTTTCACAACGTTACCATTAAGTCCCATTAAATTTCTTGGGCTATTTTAGGCAACCCTGTTCCAGCAGGTTGCAACTTAATTCAAGAACATTTTTTAAAAAGGATTAAAAAAAGAGGATAGGCCGGGAGTGGTGGCACACACCTGTAACCCTAGCACTCAGGAGGCTGAGGCAGGAGGATCATTGCGAGTTCGAGGCCAGCCTGGGCTACAAAGTGAGCTCAAGGGCACCCTGAACTGCACAGCAAGACCCTGTCTCAAAAACACCAAACCAAAAAAAAAAAAGCATAGCAGGCTATCTGAAACAAAGGTCCTACAAGAACACATGAGAAAAGTTGAAATAGTGACTATGGGCCAAGCCTCTTGGTTTTATTCATTTAATTGGGGAAAATTACAGAAGATACACAATGTTTTCAGCCTACCATAAAATGTAGCCCTTATGCATAATACCACTTTTTTTTTTTTTTTTTTTTACACATATTACCACAGATCTCTAAGGAAAGTGTCCAAGCAGTGACAGTGTGGGAATGGTGTTGATGAACAATGCAGAGCTCCTGATGCTGCTCCTGGGCAGGAGTCAGATCTTACTATTTGTGGAAAGAATGATCTTCCTTTAGCAGGTAGATGGCTACAAATGTTTAAATGGCTGGTACTAGTCTCTTAGCAAATAAATGAGGACACACAGTAGTTAAATTTTAGTATAAGAAAAATCTTTTAGGAAATGAAAGGATTCAACACCATTAAAATACTTTTATATGAGAGGATTTAGTTTTGTTTAGAAGTACAAACATTTTATAGGACAGCCATTTCACTCTGTCAATATCAATTGTGGTTTCATTTAGGAGACGAAACAGAGGTTTCCCATAAAATGTGAAAACAAAAGATAATTACTCTTTAAAGAAACTACTATTCCAAGTTTGGATCACAGATGTGGAGCCCCACATTTTAAATCATCTAATGTTCTTTTTTAGTTAGCTTGTAGAAGTCTATGATGGAAAGAAACACTGTACTAGTAGAAGTCTATGATGGAAAGTTTCTTTATGATGGTAGTTTCTTTAAAGAGTAATTATCTTTTGTTTTCACATTTTATGGGAAACCTCTGTTTCGTCTCTTAAATGAAACCACAATTGATATTAGAAAACATATTTAAATTATCCTATTTATATGAGGTATATTAGGGATATATTAGGGATTAGGGATATATTATACTTTATATGATCGAAATAGCTCCATTTCTTCAAGGTGTTCCCCTTCCTCTGTAATCAGATGGATCTTACTTAGGAAGTCAAAAGCACTACAAGTCAGTGGCAGTGGTGTGTGGAGAGATATTTTCCCAGTTGCTCACACTAGTAGGTACTTTAATGCAAGCTGAACACGCTTTCCCTATCCTACACCTTCACTCAAGGCTAAAAGTAGAAACAGTATTAGGATGGCTTTTTACAAATATCAAGTATTACAGAAATATTTTTAAAATATTTCCTCCTCCTGAAACAATCATTGAACTTACCCTGGAATTAAGCCCCAGGCACATCATTTATTTAAAATTGTTTGACATGTTTCTAAACTCTCTGTCAGATTCTAATAAGATCAGTTCTCTCTCTGTACTACTGAGAGGAATGTCACTTAGCCCCACCATTAATTGGCTGTATACCTTCACACTAAGTACTTAACCTCTGGATTGTAGTCTCTTACTGTGAATAACATCATTCAATTATATGAATAAACAACAGGATACTGTCTGATGTCCCCTTTTGCTCATATACAAATTCCTATATGAAAATATAGAAATGGACCTTTAAAGTATGTGCCTATATAAAGCTGGGTGTGACGGCGCACACCTACCTGTAACCTCAGCACGTGGGAGGCTGAGGCAGGAGGACTGCCTTGAGTTTGAGGTAAGCCTGGACTACAGAAGTGAGTTCAAGGCCAGCCTGAACTACATAGAGAGATCCTAAATCAAAAACAAAAACAAACAAACAAACAAAAACCCCAATAAAAGTATGTGTTTACATAGTAGTCTCTAGTGGTATACTAAAATTGAAATTAATTTTAAAAGTAAAAACATACAAAGCTGAACATATTATGGTTCATACCAATAAGTGGCAGTTAAATTTATAACATCTCTTTTATATAGGTGAAGACATTTTCACACTCATCCTTTACAATCATGAAAGCATCACTCCTGTGCATAAGAATTGTGAAGACTGAGCACAGCTCAATGGTAGAGTGCCTAGTACACATGAGGCCCTGAGTTTGGACCCAGCAGCCCCCAATTTTTTTAAATGGTGAAGTATGTACAGTTAGCCCGGCCTTCTATTATTCGCTTCCACATATGTAGATTCAACCACCTGTAGGTAGAAAATATTCAGGGGGAAAACTGCATCTTTACTAAACATGTGCAGACATTTTTTTCTTGTCATTATTCCCTAAACGATACAACATAACAATTATTTACATAGCATGCACATGGCATTAGGCATTGTAGTTGACACTTGAGCAAAATGGATTTTAACTATAGGGTCCACTTACATGTGAATTTTTTTAAAAAATTTTTTTTGAGGTTTATAATAATTTGAACAAATGGAAATACCACATAGCCTAGAAAATTTTAAAAATTCAGAAAAAATTAGGTATGTCATGAATGCATAGGATATATGTAGATAAGTCTGTTTTATCATTTACTACCATAAAATATACAGTATTCTAAGCTACTTCATCAAAACTTACACGATTTCCATATATGGTACCATATACAATCAAGAGAAATGTAAACAAACATAAAGATGTAGTATTAACACGTTCCTGCTGCTTGAACCTTGCAGTGGTACATGCATGACTATCCCATTGTGCTGCTTGTACCACCAGTGATACAGATCTAGTACTTTTATTGGTCTATTAATAAAATTAGAGCGCTGGTCTTCAGACCGGCGGCTCACTCCCTGCCTGGTAGGCCCCGGAAGGAGGGCTTCCGGCGCACAGGGAGCCACGGGCGGGGAGCACCGGTCTTCCGGCTGGCTAGCTTTCTGCCTCGTGGGCTCCCGGAGGGAGGCTCACCTCCACCCCCCCCCACCCCCCCACCCCGCGCATGGGGAGCCTCGGGCGGGGAGCGCTGTTGCGCGCTGGCCCTTAGGCCAGTCAACGCCGCTCAATTGAGATCTATCATGACACAGAGAAACAGTGACACAATTGGCCCACCATGCACCAGCTGCAGATGCCCACCCACGGACGTGTGTGAATCATTGAAACTTTGAACAACATGCCATACAACGGGACACTGTTGCTCCTGCCATTGAGAACCAGAAAGGTCCAGAGCCAGCGGAGCAGCAGCTGCTGAACAAGGACTCAGAGAACATGAGAATGCAGACTAAGCCCATGGAGTCAGAGGTCCTGTGGACTGGGGTCATGAGAGCCGCTCGGAAGCTGTAAACCAGGAGGGCCTTGCACAAGACTGCAGAGACTCACTGGAAGCCATTCTTCCCCTGACAGTACAGGCTGTGGTGGAGCTCCAGAGAAGTCTGC